TTTCGCGCCATTCTGGCACAGCTTAACAATTTTGTAAAACACTGCTTAACTCATTTTACGCACGGCAAAACCCACCGCTTGCATATAAAATTTCAAATTCTTCTATGCAGTAGTTGCCGACATATGGATACTTTTTTGGCAGAACCATGCTTCGCCAAAGCGAAGCATGGACCAGCCCAAAGGAGCACTGCCCAATTAAATCACTGCATATTACACAAGGCAACAGAGCATCAGACTTTGTAGTCAGTTAATTGGCAGCGACACCCCTGACTTCACACTTCTCCAGTCAGATGCCTTATATGAGATCTGAATTTTTTGAAAAAAGAACGCATTTTTACCTAGGTATACCTTTAAAACTGAAATATTCCATATTAAATGTCAAGTCTGTAGCACAAGAAAGAGAAGAATCATAACTTGGCCTCGGGGTCAATCCAAAAATAACCGGTCCAATGGCAAAGCCTTATTTCACAAAGCCCGTTCGATGTTACATTCAAAGCGAGCATGTATTTACTCGGTTTTCTAAAGGACTAGGGCTTCATTCACATGCAATGTCTATTTTCTAAATTCTATTTTCTATTCGCGGTATGTCTTATGATCACGGTCTGTGCCCTGAATATCCCGCGGCGTAATTACTGGCCGCGCGAGCCAGTTACTATAAGTTACTATAAGTAACTGGCTCGCGCTGCCAGTAATTACGCGGCTGGATATTCAGGGCACAGACCGTGATCATAAGATAGCGCGAATAGAAAATAGATTTTTAGAAAATAGACATTCCATGTGAACGAAGCCTAAAGCTTCGTAAGCGTTTGTCGTTATTATGTGGGGATTATAAATCAATTGGGGAGGGGGGGGGCGATGTAGCCTAGGGCGTTTAATGTAAGTGGAGTGAGTCTGAGTGTGGTTTGACGGCTGTTCCTATTTTATTTTGAATTTAATGCGAGTCGAGAGTATCATTGTTTTGCAAGTCACTCCCTATTTTATTGACTATGGGACCCTATGGGGATTTAACGATTGAACGACGTTCGTTTTCAATACTTTAGCCCATTTTGATTTTTTTTTTTTTTTTTTTTTTTTTTTTTTGCGTTATGGTAGACTAGTATGACACTCTTAAATCGTTTTATGTGGTTTTAAAGATTATTTACCGTTTTTAAATCATGTTTCCATGAAGCGATTTTACGACAATCGTTTTCTAACTAATCGAGGTGACAACCACGCGTGTTTGCAAATATATCTTTACCTAAATATTTCACTTTCTGTTTTCTTCAAATGGACCTTTATATTGAAAATGAGTGTATATGAATTCGATATATGAGAAATAGGCAGCAGTTCTAGTTAGGCCTTAACAAATGTATTGGCGTTCAAATTAAACAGTCAAGAGCCTAGAGAGGCTTTATCGCTTAATATACGTCAATTATTTGAAATGCTTATCACAACTTATCACTCTTATTTTTGAGAATTAACGAGTGTAAATTCCTTTGCAGGCATATTCCCATAGCAAAGACAATGAAGAACACTTCTATACTCTTGTTGATCTTTATCTTTGGATGTCTACTAGTATCATTGTCCGTGACATATCTGAGGGGAATCTGCGAGCTAAGCACAGTGAACGCGTGCGAATGCGGAAAGTCAACTTTTGAACCAGTGAGCACAAAATTTACTAAAAAAAGTTAAAGATTCGCCACAATTTGTCTATCTTATCCAAGGTGCGTCAATGCATGCTATACAAGGACTCGAAGCTACACCTAATCGGGAAATAATCTGGCTGACGTTCAAAGACAGAACAGGGGATGTCTACTTCCCCAATAGCAGTCACGGCGAAGGTCGGAATCGGCTGCTGACAGAAGCGATCGACCGTGCAGCCGAATGGGATGATGGTGGCTATTTATACTACATATTTCTAGACGACGACGTGAAAGTCAACCCTGTTGCTAATAGAAGTTTTCGTAAAGGCGTACCTGACAACCCTTATGATCACTTTGAAGAATTTCTGCTTTATTATGAACCGGCAGTAGGATACCCAAGACCAATTAATTTTCGCACTGGACCTAAAAGCACAGTGGGTATTACTTACAACTTTGATGCAATTATCAATGCGTTTCATCGCCACATGCTTTCTTTCATGCTCCCGTATATAACGGATTTGGATCATGTCTCATGGTATTTCTCCCAGTGGTTTATTATCCACATATCTGCGTCGTTTTATAATTCATATCCACGATGTTTACATGGGGAACCCACGATTACACTGGGACAACAAGTTAAAAGGGGCCTACTCCGATTCCACCAATTTCTCCATACCCCGAGATCATTTTCAAAAATGGTTTGACAAGAACAGAACGGTAAATACCATCGAATCTGGTCCAATTTCATTTTTACAGACTTTCAACCGGTCACCGATGTATGCTTACATCAAAGGTAGCACAACGAAGAAAAATAACATGGAGTACAGAATTTCTACACGGTTTATAACCACTGTATTTAATACTTCCCACCCGGCTATTCAGAAGATTTTACAATGGAGAAATATATCAAATGTGAGGAAAATTCTCTATGGAAATGACGAGACTGAACCTGAATTCATTCCAGACGTTTTTCCCTTGAAATAACTTCCATTATAATGCCGAACTTATCTTTTTTTACCTTGGCTCAATTTGGTGTTTATTTTGTGAGATGAGTATAGATTTACAGTCAACCTTTTATACGTATATTATTATGCAGGATGTGTATGGCCTTTACTGTGACAAATTCTTATTTTGGATAAGTCTTGTGAATATTATGCAATCATAATAACGTGCTTAACAAAAAGTCCCGTCGGGGCTAGTTATGTGTGTGTGTGTGTGTATGCGTGTGCCATATACATATGTTACAACTGTGAATCTGATGGAGGCTAGGGAAATCGACTGGGACCATTCCCAGACCCTATCGTACTAACTGTGGATCGATCCATCTCCGAGGGGATTCTCGCTGAATTGCAATTAACTTAAGCGGCTTAGATGTCTGTCATGCCTACTGAAGCTGTTAGGGGGTAATTCATTATCGTTTAGCAGCTTCAGTAGGCGTGTCAGACATCTAAGCCGCTTTAGCTCCTCGGAGATGGATCGATCTTGTTAGATCGATGTAGGTATGGGAACCCAGTCTAAACCTGTCAGAATTATCAGTTGGTAGATAATACATGTGTTGTATATTGTATTCCTTTCATCTCAAATTTTATTTGAAAAAGGGGGGGGGGGAATAGCCCCACTTTCCCCTTATTTTCTAGTAACAATTTTGGAAACCCAATATTATTCAGTATTGTATTTTGTGCCGACCACGCTGACCCTAAGCCGTTTATTAGCACCTAATGGGACCCCGGGCTTCCGTATATAGAATACATACATAATGCACTGTCTGTATCGCTGAAGTTTAACGCTCGATGCGAAAAGGAACTGGATTTGTTCAATCACTTTTTTATTTGAGAGGCTTTCAATATCGGAAACAGAGGACACCCGAGAAAGATTAAGCAACTATTGGTGTTATGTAGATAGTTGTGCTAGCAATAATGCGTTAGTAGAGCATTACAGCTACAACAGGAAGTCCCCCTTACACTAGACTGCTGCCAGGTATACGTTTTAATGCCTAAAACCCCAACTGTTCATAAAGATAATAAGGTAGTATTCGGCGAGCGTAGCAGTTTGGACCCCTTATCCGCCTAGAGTGTCGGCACACTTGGCGAAGTCGGCACAGTTGAACAAAGCCCTGTAGTCCCCTGTGCTTCCTAGAGTAAATATTGCCTCCATGATTATCCGCCTGACTTGTTTTCAGACGAGGCGGCACGCGTCTCTTTCATATCTCCTTTTGTAGGACAGAACTGTAAAAAGTTGCAATATAAGAGGCCTGTTATGACTGATGTTGCTTGTTTAAACTATACTCCCCAAGCAAAAATAAGTGTCGCCCGGGCCCCCGGTGCAATGCATAAAATGACTCAGGAATTCATGTCATAAACTAAAGTTTTTATTCTACCTCTAACAGGATTTCGTTCACAAAATTTTACTGAAGTTTTTATTCTACCTCTAACAGGATTTCATTCACAAAATTTTACTGATTGCACAACCAATGAATAAGCTAATGATAGTATAAAATCAAAGCCAGAATTTAGTATCTTGTACAATATCCTCTGGTTTGGAAGATGCCCTTGACGCGTGTGTGCGTAGAGTCAAAAGAGTTCTGTAACTTATGCGGAGTGAAATAATATTATAAGAAATAATCTATACACCTTTAGCGGGCCCCGAAAAATGGTATTTCAGAGAGCGAAAGGTGCCTTTGGTACGGTATAGACCTATGCTTTAGCTAGTTAAATTCCTAATTTCAAAAAGGGAACATTGGTGTGATTTGTTTCAGAAATCGAAGGCGAAATCAGGACTCACCTGAACCCCCTACCCTAGACCCCAGACCCTAGCGTACTAGTAGGACAGATCTATCGCCAATGAGATTCTCACTAAATTGCATTCAGTTTAAGTGTGCACAAAAGTCAATTACTCCCTAGGAGCTTCAGTGGGCGTGATAAACATATAAGCCGCTTAAACTGAATGTAATTTAACGAGAATCCCCGTGGAGTTAGATCGATCCTGCTAGTACGATAGGTTTATGGGAACCAAGTCTCAGAGGTGTTGCAGGCTATCACGAACTACCCTTGCTGAGGGGGTGGGGCTCCCGATAACGACCCACCCCAGGGAGCCACCATTATCATGCTCGCTGAAAGTATTCAAATAGTATCCAAAGATCGAACTTACTGTATAGAAAAAAGGGCGTAATATGTGCTCTCAGGCCCACCTTAAGAGTGGGTGCGGATTGCATTGTGTAATGACAGTGCTGTTGCATTAAAATCCAGCTTCGATTGTTACAAGTGAGAACGTGTGTTCACCGGCCCGGGGGGGGGGGGGGGGGGGGGTACAGCCGCAATTAGCAACATGTCCATTGACAGAGATCAGATAATTAAAGTAACTGACATGTAGGGACACAAAGACATTCAGCTGAACAATGTGTGACCCAGGACATCCCTGCGTTCGCTGATAAAGTGTACAATGCGTCATCAGATAAGGTATCAATTGGGTTGATGGGACAGCGGCATAGGCACACTTTGCTTATCATGCGATTGTTCAAAATATATGGACATTGCTGCAGTCACGCTCAGTAGGCTATTTCCTGGTAACGTTCTCCGTTCTCCGGTTCAAGCAATAAGCTATTGTCTCTGTAAACGCTGCACACGTGAACACCTGCTATGTGAGTGAGCAGTTTTCACCTGTTTTTCCCGATCTTGGTAGCGTGTGAGCGATATCTACTCCCGAGGCTTGATGTGATTGCCGTTTACCTGGCTGGGTCCATGGATAACAGTAAGGGCATTTTTGCAATCAGTCACAAAACAGCATGTCTCTGTTACATTTGGCGGCATCCAAGGGTCAGTTGACACTACAGTAGGTTTTTGTCGGAAATTTCTAATTGTGGGCAGTCCTTCTGATGCCTCGACCGTTGGTTTGTTTTTTGGTAATGACGTAAATTCGGTGTTTATTTCATGACGGCAGGACAACTCAGTTCACGAATCGTAACTTTTCTCAACAGTTAAATATCGGTATTTACGTTAAAAAGCATGGCTTATACATTTTTACAAATAAATTTTGATAGTAGCTGATGTAATTTCATTTTACCAAGAGACTAGATACGGTAAGGATATTTTGGAGTTAAAACGATGGCCAACAGTTTTCGTCGAATTTATAACTAACGTACTACATGTATACATGTATAACTGTAGATGTGTAGCAATGAGAAATATATTTTGAAAATGGGAATACAGTGAAGGGAAAACAATACATTTTTTCAAGATTGTAAGTGAGGTCGTCTAGGCGTAACAAGCATCATGTGGGATACACATGCTGGAACGATCTCCACAAATGGTTGAAAATCTTGAACATCACACGTTTCTGTTTGCAGTCTTGGAGTTCTTCCGTAGTCCGGTAGGTAGCGCTTGCATCGCGTTTGTGGTTCTTATGCTTGCGGCCTACTGCTGCTGGGCTGGCTACAAAAGTGGCAGAACTAGAGGGATAACGCCTGCAGAGAGAAGGAGGTTATTGCTGGCTGCAGGTAAACCATTCGCTCTCTCTCTCTCTCTCTCTTCTCTCTCTCTCTCTGCTACAGAACTACTAGTATCTATATGAACAACATAGCAAACTATGTAAACACCTAACAACAATTGCCTCTTATCATAGCACTACCTAAATATGCTGTTGTTTATCGTTTCGTTATCAGCAGTTTTTATTCAGTTTAATCAGTCATCCCTTATTTAACGATGTTTATGAAGAATTGTTGAATAGAAATGATTCAACCCCTGTGTTATCACGCGCTTGAAATGTACACACATCGATTGGGTGCATTCTGAAAACCAGAGTCACTCTGTCCTATGCTTAGTATCTAGGCATTACCAAAACTATCAAGATGTCCTTGCTATCCAAGGCGATGAAGATAGACACAACGGTTAAGGAGCAGGGATGGAATATACAGCATGGAACAGATTTCAGTTGCATCTTCTATACGTGTATCTGAAAGTCCTTTCTTGGACATGGCATACATCTATAGTCCACCAATATTTTTTTTTTCTGAGCCCGTTTTCAAGGTTGTTGTCAGAATATTTCTGGATTCAATAGTAATTTTTTAACGATTTTTGTCAATCAGTCTCAACTTTTGATTTCTCTCTCTAATTCTTAAAGCATTTATGCTACTGCAAATTCGCTTTATTCGGATTAAAAAGTCGTCATTCATAACTTTATCAGATGACTCCCACTTACACGCACTTATTTAATCCGTGCTTATGTATTTCAGGTAACTCAGACAGCACTTCCATAGACTATGAACATAATGCTCAAAACACTTTCACTGATAACCGAATGGCTGGAAGGACGCAGTCGACCAGTAATAACGATGCCGTGTCCGGCGTGACAGTTCCCTCTGCACCTCCGCCTTACCAAAGACGCGACGAGCCCCCGCCCTACGTAGACATCTATTCTTCGTCTCCACCGCCTTACTCGGAAGTTACAAAGGCGAATCAAAATGTGGGCACATCTCAAGTCTGATGTTTTAGTTCCTCCTGCGTACATATTGTTTTGATGGACGTACAGTATGCCACGAGATAAATGTGGAACTACTGTGCCGTATGCATGGTGACTATAGATCAAAGTGAAGCAAAGTCGTGCAGCAAAGGTGCATGTATACCACGCAATTTGGCACATTGTGAAAGAGCATCGTCTTTCATGGTGCTGTGCGCTTTTGTTATATTATAATTTTATAAAGATCCAGACACTGTTAAGTGCGTTTGCCGATTTCATGGTTTTACTGTCCTTGGGATCGCCCGTATTATTTATAGCATTTTCAGTCTGCATTTGACTAGAATTATATGTGGAAGAGAACGTATGTTTATTTAAATAGATTTAATCATCAACTGTTTCAAAGATGGTATTCAATAATAAGGGAACATTCATATCTCAAATCGTTCAGGAAAATATCCATTGCTGCAGACCATTATAAGGCAGCAGGTGGAGGAAAACAGCAATTTTTAAAGCGGATACCGGATTTATAATGGATGAAGATTATTTAAGGGAACGTTTGCATCAGCAAGCAGTGTTAAGCAAAAGGATACATCTACGAGCCACTTTTTCATACAAGGATTTATGTCATCCATCTGCCGAGTGATACCGTTTTTACCTTTACAAGAGTAAATGCAAAGATCGTTATATGGGACAGCGTTCGGTTAATTATATTTCCCTCATTTATTTATTAGGAATTCAAGATTCAAGTTGTGTCAAGTAACCTATGTGTTTATTGTGAATAAGGGCATATTTAGATTTTGATGCCCCATGTAAAGCAATGCCTATGATAGTTTATCTGAGGGGCAAAACGCGTTTATCTCTGCTGTCAGGGCGGGTAGGGGGCGGTATTGAGGTCCATATTCATATCTATCCTTATATCTATGGCCTTGTTTATGTGGGTTATCTTTGTCAACAAGTCTGTACCAAAGCACAGTAAGAGTAGGACAGTGCCCACACCCCACTCCAGTGAAGAAATGCAGTTTGATTACTTAGGTTTTACTGTACTGTTGTAAATGTAGCATAATATTCTCTGTTTCAGTGGTGCGATGCCACTTTTATACGGGGGCCCCAATCTTTGAAACACTATCGAGATGGTAAATAAGCAAACGGTTTTTAACCTATCATGTTGAGATCTTTAACAAACTACAAGGTCGTAGAATGCCATAGAAGTGAGAGAGGGAGGGAAGGGGGGACTGGAGAACATTCCCCCAGTGTTTTTTTTTTAATAATTGAAGTGGGCATTTATAAAATGCTAACATTTCGCTTTATCTGAACCAGTCCTTTTTCAGTAAGCGTCTACACGAGTACCGCAGACTGGCGAAATTAATTGCTTACACGTATATTGATATTGTAGGCCTGCAACAGCTGATACCCCACCCCACCCCACCCTCCCGAGTATTTTCCTTATCCTACAGCCCTGGACTTTGACACGGCAGACTCATTAATTTAAAAGAAACGGCTGTAAACATTCTTTCCATAGTGTTAAATTCAGTAAATTCAGGTGAATATTCCCACTGAAACTACTGGTGTACGTAGATCGATCCAGCTTCACGGTGACTCTTGGTGCAGTCAGCTTGACAGATTTTAAACGCGCCTCCTCTTGTCTCCAACGAACTCGTGTATTCTACAGCTTTTCTGTATTCTTAACGCCAGGAGGAGACGTGATAATATTTTAATCTGATTGCATTCAGCGAGAGTCCTGACGGAGTTAGATCGATCTAAATAGACCGATAGTTCCAATGGGAATGAGCCCTAATACTTCGTGTATTGCAAAAGAAAACGAAAAGAATGCCTTACAGATTTCAAAATAAATTCTGATGTTGTATGCTAATATTAGTAACTACAAAACATGATGAAAAATTAAGTCATATTATAAATGGATTAGCAACGTTTTTTACTTGTATAGTCGACTACATGAGACAATTTTAGGTGGTAATAAAAACTGCGATACCTTTTTCAAAGGCTGTTTTCAAATTTCAAATTTATAGATACACTGTACATGTCGTTTTACCACAATAAAATTAATAAGTAAATACCATACATCATAAAACTATCTAGTTCACTTGAATGTATAAATAATGAGTCCATAAACACATATTATTGTTAATACGAGCGTTCTAGATATCCTCTACTTGCCTCACACCAGTGAAGAAAATTGTTGACCACTATCCTGTAGTTCAATACATTATGCCATATAAGCTTATATGCTAGCACCTTAAAATCCGGTATCGAAGGTAAATTGTTCTGACCCCAGTGAGAATACAAGCACACGTACAATAATTTTTCATCCATCCATGGTATCCATGTGTGTTTGGAACCATCTGTGCACTTGTGTTGCAGTTGCATATTTGGATTGGTACATGTAGTCACGTCATATTCTTTTAACTTACGCACCACCGCAGTATGACTGCCAGTAATACATTTGGAAATAACGTGTGTGTAATGGACGGGCCGCCTGAGAGACTGGTGACTGTGGTCGGCTGGAAGTACAGAAAGCAAACGTTTCTGAGCAGGTGCTAATTAGAATAATATCGAATTATAAACACTATTAATTGTGACATTTAGCCTACGTGTTAAATGTCTTAACGATGGTGTCGTGGCAACAGTCCGAAGGTTGGAGGACCCGAATTAATGGATGGATAAAGTGTATAGTGTACTGGTAATAAAGTAAAGTTCATCAGAGGCGGGTCTATACAATATCTTCTCTTTGTGAAATCTACAGACAAGGCTTCACGTATTATACCAAAGTTTCTAGTTCATTGTCTTTAGTGTGAGATATTTATCTCATTCTTACCTCTTTAAAGTCTACACTAAACTATTACGATATGTAATAAATTTACCTTATAAGTGGACCCTCCCTGTTGGTTTGTCTTGTGTTCTTCGACGGTAGGGTGTGCTGTAGTCAACGTACTTGGTGATACGTGTACGCAAGTCGTTGTCATAGTATTTTGCAGCGAAATGGCGGCCGACTGTTGCCTTACAAACATATAACCGACCCTGTCTGTTCCTTGTAGAGAGATTCGGAAAGGCTGGAATTAGAAGAGTGAAGTTACCAGAGATTAATTCATTGTCATTTATTTTAGGGGCCGCTCTTTCTTTTCAAAACTGGGGTGTAATATTTACTGGCACGTTTTTTGTGTACGTGCTTCGTCAAAAACATTAAGTGAAAAAGTACATTTTGAGCATGGGCAAAATATTCAAACCTTTTTCATTTTTTTACTTTGTTCATGTTTTGAGTTACTGCCGCCATGCCTTAAACTGCGGAATTTCAATTTCAACTTCTAAATGAACTGGAAGGAAACACACCCAAAACATTCTGAAACATGTATATAGCCCTATTCCCGGGGCCAATTTGTTTCACGTGTTCATGTCCACAGTAACTACATGCACGTCACCCACCTGTTCTGGAATCGTCACTGAGGACCGAAAGGTATTTCTATTTTTCCCGGCTCCCTGGACAGGAGTCGTACCATATAGTTCCCGCGCAGTGCCGTCAACGAGGCTTACCCTGGTCACGTTGGCTATGTCGTCTATTGCTGTGAGTCGCGTATCAAGTTTCACTGTCGTGCCTTGAAAAATGCCACAAACAATACAAAGCTAAGGAACAGGGGTTTCCAAATGAGAGGCCGGCGCTAGAGATGGTAATCCCTGTTCCTCAACATTATGTCATCCAATAAACTCGGAATTTTTTTTTTTTTTGTNGTCATCCAATAAACTCGGATTTTTTTTTTTTTTTTTTTTTTGTAATTAAAATGCAACAATTGGTCCCACTACGACCCATCAAGCCACTATTTGATAAGTTCAAGCTTCATCTGACCGTTCCAAAGGTGTTGAATGAATGTTATACAGTGTATTTTAGGTCAGTTTCATAACCATGGAATGAAGTACAAGGGCAGGATAGAAAAAAATGACGGAATTAACTTATTGTAAACTCAATTAACTGAAAAGGCCCGCTAAGTGTGCGAACACATATGTGTTTTTGACTTAACAGCGGACTAATACGATACTTAACCAGGTATTGGTAGTCCTGTTAAGGGGAACATGTCCCCGGTGTCAGGGTCCATGAATTGATAGGTAAAGTCCAGCGTGCTTCTCCCTGTCACCTCAAGGTCGTACGTGTCTTTGATCTGTCGCTGTATTGTCCACATGCCTGGGGTGAAATTCTGAGATTAAAAAAAAAAAAGCATAAAATGCTGGACCTCGTACCTGTACAGGTAAATGATTTACTGTCAGATAAAATATATAATCTCAAATAATAAAACATTGTAAAATATATAAAACTACTAAAACGGGTCTGGCGAATGATTACTCTGATCCATATCATAAACGCTAGAAAAAGATAGCATTGCAAGTGGGATTAGTACATCCCGTGGTAAAAGATGCGTATTTCAAAACAATGTCAATGTTTGTTTTTGAAATGTATATATTACGCTGGTCATTAATTTTCGGGAACGATAATCAAATATATCAGATATGGATAAATACGGATTGTGATACTTATAAGAGAAACTTACTGCTATATGATAGCGACGAACTAATGTCCCTGCCCGCGTCTCTTCAAATCTGGAGTACAGGCTTCCTATAAAATTAAGTCTTCACATAGTGACATTCAGATATAAGTTCCAGGAGATTGTCTCACGAATAGAAGTTTAAGTCCGTCCTTGGTTCAAAATCATAGCCTACTACGACTTAGACGACTATTTAAATGCAGCTTTAGATCGCTTAAAGTTTAAAGTCTTTTTGAGAAAGAGGCACTAGAACAGCATTAGAACTGTAACCTGGTGCGGTCGTATCTTTTAATGTGTGATATCTAAGCATGCCCAGATGTATTGTTTAAGAAACAAATATAGACTAGATTAACATTAAATGATACATTAATCTGAATCTGAAAATATGTAATCGAATTAACAGATGAGTATACAGTGTACGTGCCATTTGGATGATAAAAGGCCAGAGATGGGGTCTGTGTTTCTCCTTGAGCCTCCACATAGACATCTGACACCAGACTGTCCACGATGACGTGTTTGTCTGAACCTGTTCCTGCTGTGGACCACTGGAATTTGGCTAGTGTGACCTCCGCTGTATTTTTTACTGATCCCTATATTAACATGGGATGATTTCACCAAAAGCTAATGCAAAGGTGTGAACTAAGACCCAGTGAACAAGAAATACTAGATCCTAGGTATGAATAAATGGATGAGCAAACAATCAAATGTGTGGATACGTTCAAAATACGGTCAATGGACGAATAAAATGAATGTTTTATTCTGTCTTGAGATGTCACAAAGATTAAGCCGGATGTTTTTGTCTTTAGCTTATTTGGAATTGTGAAACGACTGTGAGCAATTTGATACATGTCACGTATCTATAAATAATATATATGTCATGATTTGTATAAATAATATATACAAAATTTATTCGGTATTTATTACTATCAGAGTGGTCACCTCTATAACTTGGACTGTATTGTTGACCTGTCCCTTGTTTGTCTTGTACACGTCTCCTCCAAGAAGATCCTTCAATTCCTTGAAAATATCTCTAATTGAGCGCTGAGCTAGAAACACAGATTAGAATTTATCTGATAATAATGGTAAACATCTTTTAAATTGATCAATCTAAATAAGTACAAGCAATGCATGGATGTGCCCCTGTATTCACATGCAACTGTGAAATCTGAAAAAAAACTAATTTGTATTTTACAAACATAAACAACGCGTAACTATACTGTCTGTAGTAATAAGAAGGCACATATCTGCGAGGCAAGGGCTACGGTGCTGTAGGGGTATCATTTCCCTCACATATATCAATTGTCAATTATCCACATACCGCTACTTATCTATACGATGATTATTTCAGAATTATAAGCCCATGCCTTGGCACCAACACCGTAACATTATGGTTCGCTGTAATTGCACTGTGACAATGACAGTATATATCACAGTAAAAAATTAACTATAACTAAAAGCTATTATCTTCCGTATTGCAATTATGCAAAGGAACTCTTTGTCACTCACCAAGCGCCACGTCCCACATGAACAAGCACTGCACTATGATCATGTACGACACCGTCCGCATTCTGCACAAAGAATCAGTCGCAGAAAACAATAATCAGTTTAAAAAATACAGCATTTCATGCCCTGTCTCTTCTTCCATTTTCCTTTCTGCTACTAATATTCTATTGAGGTTATCTGTGCCGTGGCCTTAACCACACTTCACCAAATACAATATTGGTTTACGTGTCTCTTTAATCACTGTTGCCACAGATACCCGCGTTCAGTTGAGATAATCCTCATGGTGACAGCGGTTAATCAGTGTTTGTCAACAGTGCATGACAGTCACAGGGGTCAATATACTGCCACAAAGGTGAATGTTGCCATAGAGCTCATGATCAACAATAACTCTTTCTCTCTCTCTCTCTCTCTCTCTCTGTGTGTGTGTGTATATATATTAGGGATTGTCAGTTTTCTTTTTTTTCCTTTGACTTGTAAAATATATGATATTCCCGAAACAACTGAAATGAAAATCCAAGCTATAAGTAATGCGTTTAAACACCGTCTGCGGGATCGAGGAACATCATAAAATAATGTATTAGAATGATACTGAGGGGAATTTTTCATGGTTTATTACTTTGTTAATTCTGCACTAGTTTATCAATATATAAATGCACTTGGAGCTTGTCCCGCGTCAAGATGTATAATGTTATCAGGGTGAAATACTTCGATCAAATTGTTATACATGTAACTGATTACCAACAGACTCAAAACAAAAAA